ACAATGCACTATTACCACCTCATCTGCTGCTAATTATATTACTATATTTATTATGTACCTCATGTATATATTTTTACAGACCATACAGCACCTTAAAGCTCCACATGCACCTTATTGTTATTGCACCTTAATGTTTTTCGTTCAGTATTGTCTATGTCTGTCAGCGCACGGGAAGGCGAGGAATGTAATTTCGGTACCTCTGTATGTTCTGTACATGTGAAGGTATTGACAATAAAGCTGACCTTGACCTTGACCTTGACCTTGAATACTGTAGTAACTCGAAAAATAACCAACTAAATAGTTTTGACTGACTAAATATCAGCTTTGTGGCTTATTCTCAGACACCACAAACCTGTTTTTGGTTGGAAATTTGAATGCTTTTTAAACTCATGCAATATTAATTTCATTTTTTTATCATGTATCGTGCTAAACAACAAAAAGGGCATGACTAAATACTTATAGACAAGAGTGTACTATAACAAAAACCTAAGAATTCACCGTTTTTTAACCATCAACTTAGTAAAATTGAGAACAATGTTCTCCACTGTGCAATTCTAGGGCAGCAGATATACATAATTGCACAGTTGCATGCACGTCATCGAGAAGGGTTTTGAAGTGCTGTTATGCGGTGAACATTACGAGTCTCTGCAGAGCTGCTGTTTGCCAGATGAAAGATCACTGAGGCTGCAGAACAGAGTTTGTGTCCTCAGGTGAGCAGAGCTACAAGGACTTAGTATTTCAACAAATCTCCCAAGTCTCATTATCTCAAACCCTCACTGCCACACTTTTTTCTTTCTCTTGCTGAACAGTCTGTACCCAGCATACATCTTGCATTATTCTATAGCCGAAAAAACAGCAAAAAAGAAACAGTGCAATATTTACAGCTTACCACTAGTTCATTACCATTTTTTAAATACCTTTGTTTTAACTGTGTAAAGCCTCAAGTTAAGTCGACCAGGATTTCAGCCAACTCAGGTCTATAGACATTATGTCTCTATAAAGTCAGAATACGTATTTGTACTCAGTTACATAATGTTATCTATAGGCCAGGTTGTTTGAGACGGAATAAACATAATTAATAATTTTCTTCTTTAACTCATTAGAATCTTTAAGAAGATGATTCATCAAAAAAACTCTCTCACAGAGTTTTATTTTTTGATTTGTAAATGATAAAGAATTTTAATGATAAGTTTTCATGAAATCTTATACCACAACTCTTACGTTAAGAATTAAAAAGAACAGCATATGTGGACATGTCAAGCTAAAAATACCCTACATGTGTAGGTAACCTGTGCATGCAGCCTCATCTGTAAGCAGAGGTTATTATATCCAACAGACAGGGGAGAAGCTCCCTCCGGATGCATCTGTACAACTGTGCTATTTTATACTTGCACAACCACAAGCAGCATTAACACAGACAGAATGGAAGGTAATCTCAGAAAGACTGAGACTGTTCTTTAAAAAACATGCTATTAATGATGACACACATTTTAAAGAGGCATTAAAATGTAGGTGGAACATGGACAGTCCATTATATTTACTGAATATCAACCAGTTCCATCTTCTAGAAGTGTTTGCTGTTTCCTTTGAATTAATATTTACATTCGAAAATTATATAGCATTAGTATTGGCCAAAGTTTTTGTCAATCAAATCACATTAAAGTGACTCAGTGGTCTTGTTGCACCAAGTTCATTTGTGATGTGGCAAACCTCCAAACCAATATTCCATGTCTAATTGTCTCAATGCCTTACGGGGTTTTGTCTCTTACTAAACAGCCTGTGTTTTGGTGTTTCATATCTTCCACACTTCACCGCAACCAACAAGCACAGAGCAAAATGTATTTAGTATCCACATCTAATTATTATAATTCTATAACTACAAAACCGACACAGTGGTCAAGCTGTACTCGTGATTTTTGTGGCACTGCAGTCAGAGCAGTTTCTGAGCAGGATGATGAGAGATAAAAGTAATGAAGTAGAGAGATGACACAAGCTCATGTCCTGGAGCCAAGCAAGCACACAATAAAACACAACATGGCACTTACAAGTTTGTAGTTCCAATAGAGAATACATTTGGAAACCATTATTTCCGACAGACGTACAACCATCACAAATAAACAAATGGGTTACTGTCACATTTAAAAAAAAAAAGAAAAAAGGATTCATAAATATAGCGAGGATAAGGAACGGCAGATGGATACCACAAACCACGTACAGAAAATAGTAACGACCTCACAAAGACACACTAGGACCTACATTTACCACTAGGAAGTAAAACAGGAAAGACAGCTGCAGTGCAGGATGACAGGTGAGGATAAGTATTTGATGGATGGCAAGGGTTTTCAAAGTTTTGCCTGATTCAATCAGCAAATAAGGCCAAGAGTTGGAACTGTCTGAGACCAGTCTGGACAGTCTAACATAACCCATATTAAGAAAAATAAAACCTCAAGCAAATCCTGCAAAACCAGCAATATAACAGCACAGACTTTGGCTTTCACCAGTCAACTGTTTACCTCACATCAGCACTGAGTTGGAAGGATACAATTAGTCTTCTTGTGTAGGAAATATAAATTTCCAATAACATTTTATAGATACATCCAAAGTTGTGCGTACTGCGTACACTGCATACACTAGTAAAGTCTACACACTAAAAACTTCTTCTGTTTTATACTGGGATGGTGCTGCTGATGACTGCAGTTTTATTGGAATCCATTGCCACAATATTCTATTACACTCACAGTTTGAAGTCCATAAACTCCCAGAGTGTGCTCCAAACTACTAAGATGTTCAGCCATCATTGCAAATGATTCCCAAATCACAAATTACAAATCATAAATTAGTCTATTACAGCACATTTGGATGAGGAAGACACTTTTCATTCAGAAACAAATCTAAGGGATGAGTTCCCTTTAAAACATAAAAACCCCGTGCCATTCACTGTATTACTGACAGTTTCATTTAACTGCATAAGGAGTAAGATACAAAGAAGCTGAAACACTATAAATACTAAATACTTAATTATGTGACATCATGGTGAAGAACTGGTCTGAGCATACAAAAAGCCAGTTTGTATGTGATATGGAAAGAACTGTCAGTCTGTAAAATATTTTTAAGTCACTTGAGTCTCTGGTGAGAATAGTAATTTAAAGCTGTACAGTGTTAGGTTTATATGAAAAAATAATAATTTACATTACATTTGAATCCAAATAAGAGGTTGTTTTTTTAACCTTACGGATTCAGGGACCAAACTATTACAGAACATCACTTGGTAGAAGAACAAAAACTTACAAAAACTATATTTACCTGTGTGTTGAGCTGTATTCACGTGTTTACGGAATATTCCAAAGAACTTTGTTCGTGCTGGAGTAGCCTCAGCATAGGAAGCAGGTGTCTGTTAAATTACAATAAACCAATTAACTTAAAAATACATTTTTAATGCATATAATAGTGCGTGTCTTTAGAACTGTATCAACAATAGACTTACATATGAACTTGAAGAAACGTTATTGTGCGCATGTAAACGCATTAATAATTGTTTTTTTTAACAGTGTTTTCAAAACAGACGCATAATAGCACATAAACAGTTCAAGAAGGAAAACAGAAAGTTGAATCTTTTTTTATAGACAAATGTTTACCTTGTATGCGGAGAGGTAGCGTTGTTGTTTTGAATTTTTATCACCGTTTTAAACCAACGGTCAAGGGAAGTGGGGGGGCGAGGGTTTGCCCAACTGTCAATTATCCTGCAGTCTGAAGTCACCTTAAAAACGTTTTTTTTTAAAAACTTGTTTTTGTTTGGCATGTTTTCGGTGCACGGTGGCTACCACCCAGGTGCACACAGCTGATACGTCCACTGACTAATTCCGCGAGGCACAAAGGACTTTCGCTACGTTAAAACAAACAGTCAACGAAAGTACACAACGAAGTTTTTCAAATTCTGATGAAAATTATATGTAATTAATTTTCACTATTCCACTTGTTTAAAAAAAGGTGGCGGAGGGGGGGGGATTAAATGTTGATTTAATTACTATTATTACATTGTTTTCCCTCCTGAAATTCATATAAAAGTTGCTCACATGTAAAAACCAAAACATGGTTCTCACATGTGGGAGTTAATTATTCGCAGAATATCCAGTAAAGGTTTGTCTATGTTTTAAAGTATATACCTAACACTTTAATAAAAGTGTTTACTGGTTTTATTGACCATACATTTTTCTGTAGGCATTTATTTATGACTAAGTTAAATTACAAACCAAAGAGGCACAATTCGGGGCTCCATTATTACCACCATAGTTTGCAGTTGGTTGACTGCATCCATTTCTTACATACAGTAATTTTGGTGTAGCTGGTGCTTTCAGAAGACTTCATTTCATTCAAATCTACTAGAGCTGATTAACAGCTTCAGCTCTCGGGTTCTGATTTGACCCAAACTACTTGTGTTGTGTGGATGCACAAGTAAGTATATAAATTAAAGAAATTACATTTGAAATAAAACACACATCAGTAGTATTTGATTCTTATTATATCTCTAGCCTAGTCTAATCTATATCTAGCCTTTTGAGTTCCTTTTTAATGTAAATCTTTTTTCAGGCCAACACCAAATCAACCAACCAAAAATGTATGCGATATGATTTAGTGCATACACCGCTAATACAACAAATTCCGCTTAGTATATAGAGGCCATATACTGGTAGGCCAACTCTAATACAGATTTGATGTGATCTTGCAGGCCAAATACAATTAGACCATGGGCCAGATTGGGCCCGCAACCCTGAGTTTGACACCTGGAATAGTAGGTATAATGTGCAATTATGCAAGGACAAAAACTAGTCAATATTTTGCTACATACCTCCCTTCCACAGGTGCAGAACAACCAGCCACACAGATTATTCTGCACATTCATATCATCAGTTGCATGCACAGACACGGAAACATGCATGCGCACGCACACACACACACGCACACACACACACCAGTTCTGTCTGTCCTTCAGCACATCTCCTTTGTGCACCTGCATTTCTATCTATCTGTCTGACTTATCCGCTCTCTCTCTCTCCTTGTGTTTTTCTCTTCATCTTGGTGTAAAACCATCTCCCTCTCCCTCTCTCTCTCTCTATCCTTCTCTCAACCTCACCCTCTCTCTCCATGTCTCTCTCTCTTTCTCTCTCTCTCTCTCTCTCTCTCTCTCTCTCTTTCTGTTGATTTCTGATCTGTGTCTATGCATGTGTGTGTGTGGTCATGTCAGGAGCTCAAGGCTACTTTTTTCCCTTCCTGCTTTGGGATAAATCACAGATAGCTGGACACATGAAATTCCCACCATACAACACACACACGTGCATCTTTTTATCAGAGCATGAACAAAAACATGTATGGAGAAGATAAGCAGAGGATACATCAAGATGAAAGTATAAAAGAAAGATGAACGTGCACAGAAAAAGCTGCTAATTGAGAGTTGAACATAGACAAATAGGTGTCAAACTGCGCTCATCTTTCAACCACAAAATAAGGTGAAGCAAACAAAGTCTAATATCTACATAATTTATAAATGAACACAGAATTTCAAGCTGGGAGTGGAGCTCTAAAATAGAAGAAAATCAGTTAAAAGCTGTCAAGACAAAAAAAAAGAGCTTAGACTTTGCCTCCAAGCATCTTGTTGTTTTTCTAATAGATAAATGAAGGAATGGCTAATTAAATATCCAAACTATGCTGAACACCTGCTGCTAACATTAGTCAAAAAAGTTGTGCCAATTTATGAACATCCATCACTTCTCCTAGATAATAGTAAAAGTGCAAAGTTGCTAAGACATAACACAACAGGCCAAAGTGAATATGGAAGATTAATCAAATGTTATTTAATAGCACTCTTAATGATACCTTTAAACTGCACATTACAGTTGAAAATGATAGCTCAAAACCCTTAGAGGCAGAAAAACTAAAATTTAAAATAATGTATTCATCTTAAAGATGGAAAAATATGGAATTGAATATGGAAGAATAGCCTCACATAGACCTGAATTTTATAGTTTTTGTGGCTGAATCCACACACACACACAAACACACACACACACACACACACAGCCCAGGGACCTCCTACATCCGCAAAAATCACATAAAGGGTTTCACACGCCCACATTATTTACCACTGCATGACAGGAAGCTGCAGAGCATCTCTGACGTTTTCTCTACTCAACCTGGCAGTGAACCTGCAGTGGATAGACTAAGAAACTTTAAATATTAAATGTGAAGTGGGGGCTTTTGTGGAAGGCCTGCATGTCAGTTTATGTCTGGTGGGGAAAAGGGAAGATAGGAAAACTGAGACACAAAGAAAGTGCAGGAAAAAAGAAGATCAAGGGAAAACGCTACCCAAGGCACAACTATGTGGACGGCAAACATGACGACAGTGGTGACGAGTTGCCTGGCACTTTTGCTGACAATGTTTGGGGTGAACATGACAGCTGCCTCAGCACCAGACACTAATGCAGGAGATGAGGCCACCATTGGCAAACAAAGTCTGCTTTCCTCCAACCATCTGAGTTTTGGGGTCACAGAGATTCTGTTCAACATTTCCAGCAGCACTGAATACCTGTGAGTACACACAGATAGATAATCACAAGTTGTCTGCGGCAACGGCAGCAAATGTTGTGTTGCCGTGCAGATGTTTGCATGTTGAACTGCTGCTGCTGCTGCTCATAGTTTAGATGAATGTTTTAAAATCAAGAAGTTACTTTGAAGTAACTTCCTCTTCTGCTTGACATCTGTACAGAGAAGCTACAAGTTTCAGTGGAGTGCAGGTTTAAATCTTCCTGACATCAATACCGCATTGTGTCAAAATCTTTTACATATTAGTTTCTACTAAACAAGGATGGATTTGGCCTTTGACCTATTCTCAGTCTGACTTCAAATGTTACTGGAGCTGTTTGTTTAACTTCACTAATCATGAAAATATTTGAGATTGTTGCCTGTTCTTTATATATTTCTAGTACTTAGTTCTTGCTACTTACTATTACTGTAGTGATATGTTGGTTTATATCAGTTCCTCAATGAAAACTAAAAACAGTCACTGCAGTAATGTTTAAAAACCACTTCACTAGACTGACATCGTTGTATTTTTATTAAGACAATGTACAGATAAAAGGCACATATGTGAAGTAAAATATATATCATTATTATTATTTAATCATTTCAGCAACTCATGCTTAGTCAGTAACGTTCTGTTACTTCTGATTTCCAGAATTTCCTATAAAGCAGCAGAATCCTTTGTTACAATAAATGATGTTATCAAAAGCTAAGCTGTGCTCAGAGCTGTGTAACAATGTCTCATGAATGTTATGAGAAAAGCGAAACAGTGTGTGTGATAATATGAAGAAACCAACAGCAGCAGATGAATTATAGCATGTGCAGTTGCATGTCCCAAGTCAGTTTTATGTCAGTTGTTTTTAATAATTTAAATGACAACTTTGTTGAACCGTCAAATTATACTTTTATCAGGCTTCTTGTCTTCCCTCTCGCAACATTTGCTATGTGTTTTGTTTAACTTTATCTATTCCCAGCCTAACTATTGTTATTTACAATCTATTTTTAACCTGATTTGGCACTAACCCCAGGTTAATCTTCAACAATATTTCCTTCACCTATTGACTAACGTGTATTTATTTATTTATTTGCTTTAGTAATAATATCATCTAGTGTTTTTCACCAGAAAGGCCTCTCAGAGCATGGTCAAATTATTTTAAACAATAGTTTGTATCTGATGATTTCAGAAAAAAACTAATAATAATATGATTTGTTCTTATGAAGTGGTAACAAAACTTACTTACATTTGCACAGTTTTGCCCCAAAGAAGTTGACTTAAAATAAATTAGATTTAATATTAAGCAAGACCATATACTGAATGGGCTAAAATGCAGTGGTAAATGTCATTTAATTATAATGCTAAGTGTGACCAGAAAGACATCAGGTATTTTTGCATGATCAAATCTGACCATTCTTGAAACATTTCTGAAGAAAAAAACAATATAAATTGAATAGCAGCAGCTCCACAATGTAGCCTTAGCCTCCAAAACCTGTTACAAGTGGTTTAAATGGGACACTGTGACACAAAGACTGAATGTGGTGAATGAGTGGACTACTGCCATGTGGAGTAAACACTAACCTGTTGTTTTGGCCACTGAACCATTTTCAAGGAATCTCAAGGCCAGGGGGAGAAGGGTGTTTGGTGCAGGGAGGGGTTCAGCAATAAGACCAGAACTGTCTGAGGCTGTTGCACCAAACATGCACCTGGACAGATACATGAACAAAATGCAGATATGCATAATCATAGGCATACAAACAAGTAGTGGTCACAGAAATATCAAGAGGAGGACAAACTTTTTTGAAAAAAAAGTAGCGACTGTTTGTAAAAGACATAATGTGAGATTCCAGGCAGCGGTGTGTGTTTGTGTGTGTGTGTGTGTGTGTTCCCATCTGTTCAGCTCTCCTTGAAGGTCAAGGTTCTGGAAAAGGAGGGATATTTACGAATACAGTGCATCAAGAAGACACATCAGGGCTGAAGCATTCAGGTGTAGAATAGGTTAAAATCCAAAACATAAGTGGTAAAATAAATAAAAAATTTAGACTTTGCTGAACTCATTCTCAAAAACTCATGCTTTTCTCATCCTGATCAAACAACACTGACAGCAAATGGCTAAGATTCAAATTGATTGTTTATATGTGTGTTTCTGATGTGTTTCTGAATGAATGTGTCTCCATCAACAGGAGAGTGCAACACACCCAGGTCACAGTGATCAGACAGAGCGTCCTCTCCCATCTGCAGCTGCTCACCACACTGTAAGTGTGTGTCTGTCGCTGATGTTTACTATTTGTTGTGGAACATCATGATATTGGGAGAGATTTTCCAGACAGAGGTGAAGCAGAGACACAAAGCCAAGACATAGCCAGGCCCGTCTTTGTGTAAACAAACACACGAAATACACATTGTCCATCCATCCATTTTCATCCACTTATCCATTACAACCACCACCCAAATCACACTGTACCATACCAACCCCCCAAACCTTCCTGCAGGTGGTGAGTCCACTGGAAGGTACCAACTGCCCTAACAGGGATTGGATCTTGCCCAGGAGGTGAACCCTGGGGTTTCACACCAATGACTCTGGGCCAAAGTGCCATCAAAATACACATAGAGTTTATTAAATAATACCTGATTTAGTCATCTTCTACAACTGAAATCACATAAATTCTAACAATCTTTTTTAGTCCTTCAGATTTTTTTAAATGTATCTCCTCCCCTTCGTACATCCTCAGCATCATATTGGAGAACAACAGGCTGGAGACCATTGGCCCATTTGCTTTCGCCAACTTCCCTAAGCTATCTGAAATGTAAGTATGAAGTTTGTTTTTTTTCTGTGCTAGTGTTTCATACAACAGGCTGCTGTGTTTAGTCTCTGTTGTGGAACAAAGAGAGCTGCCACCTGTGAGAAAGGCGGTTGCCCAGAAAGCTGCAGACAAAATGTGTCAAAGAATAAATGTGAATACAGACCTGACATCTTCTCTCTTTTGTTGTTTTTTCCCCACGCTGATGTGTTTTCTTCAGCATCATCTCAGGAAATGTTGCACTTGAAGATATTGGAGCCTTTGCTTTCTCCAATCTGCCCGAGCTCACTGATATGTAAGTAACAAAGAGAAGAGTTCGATTATTATGATAAAAATGATCATTTATGTCGATGTGCAAATGACCGCATACGCCATTTTCTTTCAGAATCATAACTAAGTCCAGAAATCTGCGTTGCATCCATCCAGATGCATTCAGGAACCTGATAAAACTTAAGTATCTGTGAGTGCCATTGCCATCAGGCTCTCAGTTTGAGAAGCATGAAAAACAGCAGCGTATGGTTTAGAGTACAGTAGTGTAATAATGGAAAATCTGCCTAACATTAAAACAACTCTCACCACTACTGTTTGTCTTGGTTTGAAAGAACTGGGTCACATACTGTAAGTAGAGCAGCATGAGGAAAATAATTTGTGTTTCTTTTTTTTTATTGTAGTCCAGCAAAAATAAAAATATATATATATATATATATATATATATTTCTAATACTGAGATTTTGAAGAAAGTCTTTGACCCTGATACAGTGTACGTGAGTTGCCATATAGATAAATATATGTCAAGTATACACATACATATGTATGTATGTAAATATATATATACATATATATATAGAATTCTCCATAACTGTAGTTGTTCTTGTAGTTGTTAGATTGGTTGTTGACATGTCACTGAGACAAATGAGTAACAGTTGGTGGTTAATCTACCCGTCACAGGTCCATCTCCAACACAGGGCTCAACAGTTTTCCAGACTTCACCAAGATCTACTCCACAGCCTCGGGCTTTCTTTTGTAAGTTTCACCACATAGTACATGTGAACTACGAATATAAGCTCTGACACCCGCCCACACTTTTATTCCCTGCTGCATCTGACTGTACAGGCTATTGTTGACACAGTATTAGACAAATAACACTGCAGTTAAAGCCTGCACACTGTGTATGGGAGAAATATCAGAGATGCAAACCATCTGTTCCTCATCACCAACCTGTTTAAAAATCCATTTTTCAGCTCTCTTCCATGTACCTGCCTGTACTGGGAATTAATTATGAAGGAGATTGTAGCATGTATTCCTAATATACTGTATTGCACCTAGAGCGTCCATATATTCATGAACTGTTTTTTTTTTTTTACAACTTGAAATTACACCTCTTCTGTTTACTTGCCAATATTGGTTGTTTATAATGTGTTTCCTTGTGCTGCTTAGTGACCTGCATGATAACAGCCACATAATGAGAATTCCAGCCAATGCCTTCAGAGGCCTCTGCACTCAAACTATCAGGGAGATGTAAGAGATTCATCTGTTTTAAATTATTTATTTTAAACACACCACCCTCAAACAGCCGGGAGTGGACATTACCACGGTGAATGCTGCTGTCCTCATTTGCTGTCTTCCTTTTTTTCATCATATCTCTGTAACACTCCTATTGCCCTGCGTGTCCTTTCCTTATTGTTTCCAATCACATTTTCATAACCGAGAAAACTCTGTTTGACACCACGACTGCAATAAGTGCAAAAATTGAAGACAAATGTGGTTACCAACAAAAAAAGCAGTTTTAAAAATGGTCTGTAAGTGGGCCATGTACTAAGAAAGAACACTATCATGAAAGATACCCGAAACCACGTTTACTTACAATGATGCTGGCTTTAAACTGGTCGATTATATATTTACATGAATGACTATGGTCAAACAGGTGTGTCTAATGGAGGGGCCAGCAGATTGCCCACACCTTAAAAAAGAATAAACAGGAAAGAGACACAGCTCTTAAAATACACACACACAAAATTAGCATTTTTAGATGAGAAAAACTTTCTGTGGGAAATGTTCTGTGTTGGCGTCACACCAATGTAATTTGGCTGCTCTCTCTGATGACAGACTGCTCACCAGAAATGGCATCAAGGAGGTGGCGAGTGACGCCTTCAACGGTACAAAGATACACAGATTGTGAGTCACAAACTGAGACACAACGATAGTCAGAGGATTTAGGATGAAAAAGTCTCATCTTAACTTCTCCCATCCTCCTTTTCTCTCTCTTAGATACCTAAGGGGTAACAAACAGCTTACTCACATCCATCCCAAAGCCTTTGTGGGTTCCAGTGGGTTGACAGAACTGTAAGCATGACATCTAACTGTACACTCATGCCCATCCATGATTCAGCCTCCCCATCATTGCTTGTTAAAGCCAGGATCTAGGAGAAAAGGAGAAGCAATGTGACATGTGTGGGGAGACTAAAAAAAAAAGAAGAAAAAGGCTCAGAAGCCTGTCAGATTTAAGGTAGAAAAACATCAAAATGTTCATTTGAATTCCAGAGGGACCAATTTATCTCCCAACAAAATGACACTTTTTCCACTCAAGTGTAATGAAAAAAAATGTTTTTAGAAATGCAAACAGTGATTTTGCAGATTTTTTTTAGTAGTTTTAGTGAATTGTCTGTCAAGTTATTTGAGTTCAGCAAAGCTCGATACTTTTTAATTATATTTATTTATTCCAGAACCTACAGTGTGACTGTAGAGTGACTATGGTCAGATTGTTGTATATAAATTAACAGGCATTTATACACAAACAGGCTTTTACACTGTATTTACAACTGTATGTAACAAAAAGGTTTCATCTTTTAACACATACAGCAAATATGTTACTGCAGACACTAACATTCAACAAGACATTTTTCACCGTTTTAGTGTTGCCTACAGTGCAACACTTTGTTCTTATTTTTTCTTATTGCATTCAAGGGCTGCCTGATTGTAAATATTAATTTATGAAACCTTGCGCAAAATTCAGTGTTCAGCCATAAGCATGAAAAATGACTTGGCACCAATACTAAAATTCAGCTTCAGAAAATCCTTTGTCGTCGCAGCACCAGATTTATGAGGCATGTAATATTAGGTCAAGACAAAGCTACAAAAGTGTTTTTGAGCTATGTGCCAAAGCCAGCTGGTATTTTAACCTTTATAGCAAATTTTGCCATATTGTCACTGAGCACATTTAAAATCACCTGCTCCAAACATAGGTCAAAGGCCGCAATAGTTAATTGCAGATATGATTAGCAATATTTTTCTGACCTTGTTCTCTTTTTTCAAACCTCCACAACAATTTAGTTCAAAATGTAAAAAAAAATAGCCGACTGACAAAAATATTGATAAATGCTCCACGACAGCCATAGATGATGATGAAGACCATGGTCATAGAAGATCATAACCATGGATCAAATATCAAGTTCTACTGATTTGTAAATAATGAATTGGGTTTAATGAGAGAATCTGGTCTATTCTTCAGGGACGTCTCTGAGACAGCCATCAGCTCCCTGCCCAACTCCATCCTTGGCGAACTGCAAAAACTGATCGCAGAGTCTTCGTACGACTTTAAAAAGCTTCCTCATCCAGAGCTTTTGCCCAAACTGCGTCAGGCCAACCTGACCTACCCCTCACACTGCTGTGCTTTCAAAAACATACACAGAAACAGGTGGGCACTGCCGCCAAGTTGCCGACAGAGTACAACACAGTGAAAATGACAGCAATTTGGTAATAGATGCAGTAGACGTAAAAAAAAAAAAGAGAGGGAGGAAAATCACTGATGTAGTAAAGGACCTTTGACCACAATTTGGAATAAATCAGGTAAAGAAGACTGACCCCTTGTGTTTGTATGCACACGCTGTCTCTGATGTTAGATCCAGGTGGAACTCACTGTGCTCACACCCCAAGGCTCGGGATGACGTTCATTTCTACAGAGACCACTGCTCCAACTCCACGTCCATCACCTGCAGTCCTTTGCCAGATGAATTTAACCCCTGTGAGGATATCATGTCTGCCACCTTCTTACAAATTCTAATCTGGGTCATCTCTGTTCTCACACTGTTGGGAAACGGAGTGGTGCTGCTTGTATTGTTAGGTACTGTGTTTAACTGTTTTCTTTAAAAAGAACTTTAACATTCAAAAATTGTAACTTTCTTTTCAGATTTTTAGGAAGAATTCAAGAAATCAAATCAAGAATTGCAAAAGAGCGAAAACCCATTGATTTATTGAAAATACAGAAATATTAAATATTCGATTTTAAAACATTTTGATACATTATTACATGATGTAAAAAAATCATCTTTTGACTTTTTAATCATTTTGAAACAAAGGGTTTTTAATATTTCATATTCACTATATATATTTAGAAATTGCAAGAAAGGTGCTACTTTGCACTTATTTCTCTGATTAATGCTTCCGTTTCCAATGTTTACAGGCAGCCGTGCCAAACTGACGGTTCCTCGTTTCCTCATGTGCCACTTGGCCTTTGCTGACCTCTGCATGGGTGTCTACCTAGTGGTCATTGCAACTGTGGACGTGCTCACCCGAGGTCGCTACTACGACTATGCCATAGACTGGCAGAGAGGCCTGGGCTGTAGCGCTGCAGGATTCTTCACAGTGTGTACACACACACTCTGACTCTGACATTTTTGGAAATGACACTTTGTATTAAAAGTGTTGAGAGTCTGTGTGTGGCGGTGTGTGTGATTGCAGGTGTTTGCCAGTGAGTTGTCAGTGTTCACCCTTACGGCTATCACCCTGGAGCGCTGGCACACCATCACGTATGCTCTGCGGCTGGACCGCAAAATCCGTCTGAGACACGCGTGTATCATAATGGCAGCGGGCTGGACCTTCTCCTTGATAACTGCCTTTCTGCCAACAGTTGGTGTTAGCAGCTACAGCAAGGTGGGTGTAATGACCACGTTACTTCCTTGTGGTCATAAAGGTAGTGATGGAAAAAAATACAAATAAAGACAGGGTTTTCTGTTTTTAAACAACAAATCAGACATCAGACGTATGTCTTAGAAACTAATCAGACTAACACAGAAGAACAATGTGATAAATCCCTGCAACGTACATGAAGTGCAAATAAGGCTTATAGGCATTACCTGGGCTAATGACCAGACATGACGCTTACTCACACTGAAGCATTGGCTGACAGAGAGAACTCAGGGAGAAAACAGATTTGAAGCTACTTAAGCAATGCTGCCTTTCCGATGGTGAAGCTTAAGTATGTATAAAGCTTTGTCAATTGATCTCCTTTTACCTCAGGGACCTTCGACAAAATGGGTGACTTTACATTGACTTTAAGTTGCCCCAACTTACAGACACTCAGTAAAAAAGAGTATCAACGGCTCCCATGTCTTCTGGTCCTAAATGTATAGTACGTAGTTCACCCACAGTTCAAAAAACGTAAACTTCTCTTTTATGGCAAATGGACAGTGTCTTCTGTCTGTCTTGCTGTAGGTGAGTATCTGTCTTCCCATGGACGTGGAGTCTGTGGAGTCTCAGGTTTACGTCGTGTCTCTGCTCCTCCTCAACATCCTGGCCTTCTTCGTCGTGTGCAGCTGTTACCTCAGCATCTATCTGACTGTCCACAATCCGTTATCAATGCCAGCCCACGCTGACACACGCGTGGCCAAGCGCATGGCCATCCTCATCTTCACCGACTTCATCTGCATGGCTCCCATCTCTTTTTTCGCCATCTCAGCCGCCCTCAAGCTGCCTCTCATCACTGTCTCGGAATCCAAGCTCCTGCTAGTTCTCTTCTACCCAATAAACTCGTGCTCAAACCCCTTCCTGTATGCCTTTTTTACCCGCACCTTCAGGCAGGACTTCTTTATCCTCTCGGCCCGATTCGGCATGTTCAAGACACGAGCGCAGATCTACAGGACCGAGAGTTCTTCCTGTCAGCAGCCGGCATGGATCTCTCCAAAGAGCAGTCATGTGGTGCTGTACTCCTTGGCCAATGCATTAAGCTTAGATGCAAAATAAGAAAGCTGACTGTTATCCAGCAGGAGGGCGGTGGCTGGACACCTCGTGATGCTGCATAACATTTAACTTGTTCTGAAATCTTGGATGATGTCATATCTTATTAGATGTTTCTATCTATCATAACTCTCTCAACAATATCCTGGTATACTTCAATGTTTTTAAGCCAAGCATCACCATCACATCCCTGTGTGTTGACATGAGGACGGCAAGTCATGGCACATCTAAGGGAGACTGCTTTTTATTAGTAATCCAAGCATTAACAGAACAACTAAAGTAACCTCTGCCAAAATATAGGTCCAAATTACTGCCCCAGAAAAAAGACTTGATGTCTCCTTTACTAGTGATGTAATTGAGGTGGAGTTTACCTTGCTCACAATTAACTAAACACTTGAGCATATAGATCTCATACTCAAAGGAAGGAAACGAAGGTATTTATGTGAAGTAAATCAATTTAACATCAACAGTGAATAATGCTAATCATACAGTGCACAGGAGGATTATAGAAGTACTGAGGAATAATGGCATAGAAAACATCTGCTGTATCTTATGCCACACATCTGGGTGTTTTACCAATTAGTTTACCTGTATATCACAAAACATATTTAATTATTTCATGTCATGTCTAGAATGTCTTGAAAATGGCTATTAGTATTTCTATCAATGTGTTTTGTTTGAAAATGGTCCAATGTTTTATTACGTCTTATGATAAAGTTGTTTATTATTAGTTTTCTGTTTGATGGGGATTTGTTACATGCACACATAAACACACACACACTCACACACACACAGCTGTCTTTATCTAGAAGTAATGTCCTTCGGAGCATCCAAAGATTTCAAGGACAAATTGACCCCTCCAACCTCTGCTGTGTGTGCCAGGGTGTGTGCACGTGGGTGGCTGTGGGAGGACAAACTACACAGCTGCTTGTTCCGCTTATTACAGGAGGAGGGACAAGACACACAAGCACACACATGGAGGGACAGGGAGAGAGAGAGAGAGAGAGAGAGAGAGAGAGAGAGAAAGGCAAGCCAGGAATTCAAGGCTACAGCTGCAGGAAGGAGACCATCCCATTGATATGGATATGCTGCCTTTTACATGCCAACACAGAATGTGTGGGTGTATTTGTACTCTCTGGCCACCAGGTGATGCTGCCGGTGCATTATCCATTGTTATCTACAGCTCTAACGCTTTTATTACGGTGTAACAATAACCTCACAGCAGACACTATAAACAAGATTTCATACAAGTGAAAGCAGATCTTACATCAACAAGCATCATTTTACACCGATGTAAGGGATAGTTTTACCACAACACTAACTAGCAGCATAATGTTGGGCTTTCTTTAAAAAAGACAAAGACTGAACGCTGTTTTCTCTGAAACACTTTCGATGGACGCTTTCTCCATACTAAATTATTTACACCATATGGTTATAAAAACAAGGAATTTTTAAGTCAGCTCATATTATTAGTTGGCTGTAGAAAATCATCCGAAAAATATTTAAACATTTTTTAAAAATCATAGAACCATAAACAGTTCTGTTGCGTATCTGCAGTTGAACGTATAAGCATTTGCTTGTTTGCAGACAACATGGCCCTCTAGTGTTCATTTTTTAAAGTGATACAATATAATTTTAATAGCACAATGTTACGCCATGTTTTTTTACAGGAGCCCAAAGAGGACAAACTGAATCAATGTGAGGTTAGAACGTTAAGGAATAATAACTGAGGTCCGTGTTTGTTTGTTTTTCATTCCTTGCAGTGGAAAGGTGTCCTTGTAAATATTGTATAATAAAATTCGAAAAATAAACGCGTTGCACTAGAATTATTTGAAATAATCTTAATATGCTATCCACCAAAGGTTCTTTTAACAACGCAACATCATTGCATGACAAAATGATTCCAAAGACATTTTAATGTTTCATTTTTAGTAATTCCAGTCAACAATATGAAGTTCATCATTCATCATTCACTAGTACCAAGTATGGATTGTGTAGTAAACATTCTACGTGAATACACACGTACAAATTATGTTTTAGTCTAAATAGGTATGGATACTTACAGTTTTTATTTATTAATAATACAATTATTAATTAAGATTAGGTAATTATTAAAAATTGCCTTAGGTCAAACTAATGCTCGCCCTGTACGTTTGTACTTTCGGGAAATCCATGTTTGGAACAAAGACATAATTGTCTGAACACTAAACATGACTACAAAATGAAATAATGAAATAATTACAAAAAAATAAAAATACAACGGGATATAAAGATGACTGCATCTTCGTTATACTGCATGACTGCATCTTAGTTATAATCATTTAAAAAATTGAATATTACATATAAGAGTATTTGAATAAAACGCAGGTTTTGGATAATAAAATCAAAATATAACTATTACTATTATATATTATTATTCTTTGGTCATTCAAAAATGTGTTGCAATTGCATTGTCTACTTATTAACAATGTTAGACTATGCAGAGAAATTAAGAACGCACAAAAATAAATAATGAAGCTTTAAGGGACAGAAAGTTAATGATGTATGTTTCTTGTTCTTACGTTTCTTTCGCAAAACGGAATGGACTGTGCCTTTTAATTGATTAAAATTTTAATATACATTGTTCTATTTTGTGATGCTGTTAAGTGTTGAGTATTGGGGGTTAGTCAGTGTCCGGTCCTTATCCTAGTAACCACTCGTACACGTTTAATCGGAACGATGCGGCCGAGCAAACTGCGCATTATTGTTGATAAAGCTATTGATGACTCCATGCATTGATCAAGACGCCGCTTGACCGATTTCGGACCCCAATAGAAAGGGTTTGTCAAGCCATTTAATACGACGCTCCTGATTGGTTCTCTATGGAGACGCTCATGAAATGTTTAACGTGATTGGTCGAAGATACACACTTCTCTTTTTTTCTCGCGAATCTTTCCCGTGTGGGTTAATGGCTCCTCCTGTTACTGACTGAGACGGAGCTGGCACCGAACGGCAATACGGGGGGAGCTGTAACACTACCGAGAAAAAAGCCATTACACCCCAAATACCAGCGGGTTTTGTCGCACTTCTGTTGTTGTTGCTCTAAGAAAAAAGACTTCCCTGGTGAGAGATTGGTTGTAAGTGCTAAAAACAATAGGAGCGGGCGGTCGCGGACAGTGGTCTATTTTTCAACAACCAACTCCCCAGATGAACTCCGTCAGAGCCACCAACAGAAGACCCAGGCGAGTGTCGAGGCCGCGCCCGGTACAGCCCGAACGGAACAACGGGGAGGGAGGTAAGCTAGGCTTCGCTCAGTGGATGAACTGAGACATAGCTGTATGTGGATATTTGTTTTCACCTACCCTTACGTCATGCCGTTCTTGCACGTATGCTGTTCTCAGAAGCGGTGAGTTGAACAGGAAAAGCCGAGGCTTTTTGCTCCGCGGCTCAGGACAGGCCGCGCTTTGTTTGGCTTGAGTGATTGGGGCTAGTGAGGTGTGCTAGCTGAGCTTAGCAGCTAAAGAGGTTGGGGGTTGTCTCTGCTTAACCCTAATGCGTATGTGTGGAGCTGCACCGTTAACGTTAATAGCTTGCATTTGGTTATCTCCAGTTGAAAGCAAATGCTTTGCCTTACTGTTTAGTTCAGTCTCCCGTGACTGTTGGACCATCGCATTCCCAGCTGTCACTAACGATTCCCGGGATGTAAATCTGCGGTGTCTCTGCACTGCCATTTTTGGGGTGTAACGTTAACAAAACATTAGCAGCAACTGGGGGCAACGTTAGCCTTCTTAGCTGCCCGAGCTATGTGGGGAGGCTTTACCGATCAGCTGTGATCGGTGGTGCGACTGGGGTTTGGATTGTTTCACTGAGTCCATTTTGTGTTTTCGGGCAGGAGCTTGCAGCCAAACAGAGGCAGCTGATTGAAGCTTCCTTGTTCTCAGCGTCTGCTAACCATTGCTCCATTTGTTTACACCGCGGATTTGCCAGCTACGCAGTTCAGTTTTAGCAATTAGCTGCACGTCTGATTGGCTTTATCAACGGCGCTTCACTTTGACAGCGCAATGAAAGATCGTTCTGATTCTGCCGTTGGTAGAAATGCACACTGTCCACGTTAGCTGGATTTGACTACACCTAAAATATTTCTTAGATGACTGCAGCTGTGCATCCGTCGTTATAAATTCGTAACCTTTGTCTACCACACCAGCTACTATCCTGTCTGTTAGCCTGCGCAGTGTGCATACTGGATGTGGGTTAAACACACATCGTTCTATTTGCATTGGCAAAGAGAATAAGTGGCAGTGCATATAGTGTTTGCTGCAATTATCAGAGAAGTTGTGAGTGCATTGGAATCAAAGCACCCCCCCTGAAGACTTATATGCAGGATCGGCAGTTTTCTGCATTTCTACAATGTCCAATTATTGAAGTGATTGAGGTTTAGGAAATTGTGTTTTGCCTTTGTTTCCAGATGAGGAGGCTCCTGCAGCAGCTGCAGCAGAAATGGCCATTGAAGAATCTGGTCCAGGAGCTCAGAACAGTCCCTACCAGCTTCGACGCAAAACACTTTTACCCAAAAGAACCGCTGCTGCCACTGCCACCGCTTCTGCCTGTCCTAGCAAGAGCCCAATGGAGGTGAGGCTGAAATATTCCAGTGCATTTCATTATATTTTTGCATGCAATGTGTGTGCTACTACACTTGAGATAGATGAGAAGAGAGAATGAAAATGTATTAGTGATAGACTTTGTAATAAAAATAATAATTTTGTTGCTACAAAGCATTAAGTTTACCTAGTTGTTTTATGTGGCTTGATCTAAATATCCTTTTTTACAGGGGACTTCAACCTCATCGACAGAGGCCTTTGGCCATCGGGCCAAGCGGGCACGAGTGTCCGGTAAGAGCCACGACCTGCCAGGTGTGTGTTAAATTTTAGCAGCTGGGCAAGGACACATACTGTAGTTAGACTGTTGTTTTTCTTTACCTTTTGGTCTTGTACTAATTAATTTTTCTCTTAATTGTTATTCTTTGTCCTTTGTATTTCATAAAATTAAGTAATTGGGGATTTCTGTGTGCATGTGTGTGTGTGTCTGTGTGTTTCAGCAGCCCCAGCAGAACAGTATCTGCAACAGAAGCTTCCAGATGAGGTCGTTTTGAAGATTTTCTCCTACTTGTTAGAACAAGACCTCTGTCAGGCAGCTTGTGTCTGCAAAAGGTTCAGCCAGCTCGCCAACGACCCAATCCTCTGGTCAGTGGGAACAGATTTTTCAGATGTTTCATTTTGATTTGATATTATTAAAAGACTAGTACCCAAATGTCTGGTTGTGGATTTGTAAATCACAGGAAACGTCTGTATATGGAGGTGTTCGAGTATACACGTCCTATGATGCACCCTGAGCCGGGTAGATTCTATCAGGTCAACCCAGAAGAGCATGAACACCCAAACCCATGGAAAGAGAGCTTCCAACAGTTGGTGAGTTGGTTTTTGTGTTTTTCGTCCAGATGATCCTAAGGGTTTCTGTTTTAGCAAACCTCATCAACTTTCCTTCTGCTCATACCAGTACAATATAGACATTATTATCCATATTTCATTGAAATGTTACAATCTGACTGGCTACTGCTAGATTCATTCCTGTCATGTTTGGCTTTCACTAAGCAATGATAGGAAATTAAAATGAATTGAAGCGACGAAAAGAATGTAGGCCAGTGTGAGAGATTAAGTCAAATGTACACTCTTTGTGTGTCAGTTTTTTTGAGGT